CCCCCCCCCCCTCCAGCCCCATAACTGGGTAGGGCTGCCTTACCTGTGGTATACGAGGATCCTGCTGTAAGGGAAGAAAACTTGGGTCAGTGTGACTTCAGATCCCCATTCCAACTGGGAGCAGCACACTGTGCCTTACCTGTGGAAGTGACCTGGCCACTCAGGGTTGGGGACTGCTTCCCAGTCCAAGAGAGTCCTGGAAACCCTTACCCTCTTAGCCTTTTTTCCTTCCCAGGGGCTCCCTAGTTCCTGTCATTGAGACCCCCAGTTTCCCATCTTGTTTTCCAAACCTTGTACAATCACCTTGGATGAATGAAGCAAAGACCGTTCGCTGGTTGAGAGGCTGGGGGGCTCGGTAGTTCTGTACCAGGAGCTTAGAGGGCTCCTCCTCCGTAGAGAACAGTGTCTCCTGAAGTTTCTCCAGCTAGAAGAGTGGGATTAGAGAAGTGTCACTTAGGTGTGGGGAAGGGTCTGGGGTTACAGGTATGGTTCTGCTGCCTCACCTCTCCACCACTCACCTGTTCCATTGAGATCTGGGCCCTTCGATTGAAGACTGTCCAGAGCACACTCTGGTAGCAGGGGGGTGTGGTGAGTGAGCCATTGTAGCGGAAGAACTGTGCCAGCACTGGGGGGAGCAGCTCTCTCACGCTGAAGGGAGGCACTGAGGTACTCTGATCTGGGGAGAACAGACTAGGATCATCATCTCACTGCACCCCAGCTTATCCAGACTGGACTCCCAGGAGCGAAACTCCTGGCCCCTAGCTTGCTTCCTCATCTCAGGCCTTAGTCTTTTCCCTGACGTCTAATCTCACTTTGTCCTAAAATAGATTTTTAGGGCTTACCTTTATACCTGATTTCATGCAAGTGACTCAGAATGTGTTCATAAGCTGGATTATTTGTCTCACCCACCTGGAAGGAGAGGAAAGGGAGTTGGCAGAAGTCCATATTCATAGCAAGACATTCATGTAAAGAATAAATGGTCAGAGTGGTTGCTGACTTGCCTTGGGAGGGAGACCAACAACAGACATGGGCAGAATAGGACTGAGGGATGCAGAGGGAGTGAAGAGAGACCTGGAAGGAAGTGGGGGCCACTAACCTCAATGAGGATGCCCAAGACAGCCAGGCCCTGAGGCCTTGGAGCAGCTTCACTCAAGCTGTTATAGGAATCAGAATCATAATGTACGATGTGGAGCTGAGGGGAAAGGGAAGTGAATCATTTAATGTTTCTCCACTACCCCCTCCCAAAGGCTTTGACCCCAGCTGCCACCACCACCACCTTCAGTATGCCCTAAGTCTGTCCCATCAAGGGTTGGTGTTATCCTCCAAGTATGACTTTTCCCAGTTTCCAGATCCTCCTTTTCCAGGCATTGATCATGCCTTTCACTGTGTCCTAGTACAAGCTTCACTCCCTGGGTACCTCTGCAGCTGTGGCTTCACTGTTGATCTGGTGTTCTGACCCCTTTAGGGATCCTTTCTGACCCCAGTGCAGGTGGAGCTGGGCAGCTACATATTTCCGGGGAAGTCCCTCCAGATACAAAGTAGGGGGTAGAGAGAGTTGTACTGTGAGGAAAAGAGCAAGCCAGGGTTGGTGGAGGAATGTGGACACATCCCCACCCCTGGGTTGCCACCAATTCTGGGGAGACTTGGCCAGCCTTTCCAGTTTTCCTTCACCAAGAGCACCCAGTTTTTCCCATAGGCCACTGCTCTCCTAGCACATCTTTCTCCGTGAAGATCAAGTCCATGCTGTTATACTAATCTACCCATAGAGCTTGATCATAGACATTCAGTTCCCACTTTTGGCTATAGGAGCCTCATCCCCATTCTCACACACCCAAATTTATAGCGGAAGCCTTCTCAGAATTTAAGTTACGAGAATGCTTCTTCCCTCTGACTTGTAAGGTTGGAACTGGAGCTTTCATTTCCTTAGAGCCTGGGCTTTTTACCTGTGTGGCCATTATTGTGCAGCTCCAAAGGCTTGGTGCCAGGCTGGTCATATCCATGGGGCTGCAGAGGGGGCAACTCCGGGTCAAAAGTCACACTGTCTGTCTGGATATTGACGGGGGACTGGGCATTGCTTCCACATTCAGGGTAAGAGGCTGGCCAATGGTGTTGACCATGTGGGCCTGGTGGAGGTTACCACAGACATTTGTCCTGCCCTTCAGCCCCAGGCACCCTTCAGCAATCCCCCCACCAAGCCATACATCTTCATGGAGGTAGAAATGCATTTCCACTCACCCCAGAAGAAGACCCCAGTTGTGTGGCTGGGTGAGGTAGGAGTCCCTGCTATACCTGATGCTTCAGTTCCCTCTACCTACCCTGAGGCAGTGATGATCCCCCAGCTTTCCTAATAAGTGGGGGATAGTGGCTTTTACTTACCTGTAGTTTGAGGACAAGAAAGCTGACTGAGAGGAAGAGGGGCTAGATAAAACAAAACACTTGCATACCCAGCAAGGGGGGATTAGAGTAGGAACAGGAAAATGGGAAATAAAATTATCCTAGAGAGGTAGGGTCTCTGTGGGGCTCCCTATTAAGGGGCCTTATTCAGATCTGCTGATTTTCCCTCATTTGCTTTTTGCTCTCACCCTGGACCTTGCATTGACTCTGGAATTCAGTTAAGTTATTAATCAGAAGTTCAAAGGAATTGATTTCCACCTCTGCCAGGATCACAAACTATCCTGCCAACCTCTGCCTCACCCCTGACCTCAAGTTAGAATCAATTAGGATAGAAAGAGAGGTAGGAGGTGAATTGGCAGCTAAATTCACTGTTTATTTCCCCTATCCAGATTTCTTTCCACTCCAACTCCCTCATCCCACAAACTAAGGACATAACTGGTTTTTCTGCTGAATCAGGAGGTGCGGGATCTGATGATTAGAACAGAGTCTAGGAGTCACATATCCAAAACCTAGGGCATGGGGAGATGGGGAGGGGAAGGAGCTAGGGTAAGAAGCTAAAGGAAACCATACGACATAAATCTTCCTGCCAGGTGAAGAGGTCCCAGTGTGAAAGGGGTGTAGGTAGGCCTTGGGTTCGTTCTCACCCTCATATGTCCAGTGTTGACCTGCAAGGCAGAGTAATTTGAGTTACAGCCAGTGCCGCCTGGGGCAGGGCCCTCCCTCTGCTCCCCTCCACCTCCCTCTCTGCTGGCTCTTCCTCCTCCCTCCGCTCCAGCACTTCCCAAAGGAAGCCCTGAAACTGGACACCTCGGTGGAAAGGTCGGGGGCCTATTTAAAATCACCAGCCAGGCTGTGCTTGTGCTTGCTGTGTAAAGGGGGAGGAGAAATGAAAAGAGATAAAGCCTGGAGACTAAAATTAACCTGAGTCCAAATGAACAGTCCACCCAACCCTCACTTTCCTCCAGCCTGTGCCAAGCCAATCGAACAGAAGATTGGGGTGAGGTGAGGGTGTGGGCAGGGGTTTGGAGGAAAGAGATGAACAAAGGAGGGAAAAGTTCAGCGTGGGGGGCAGTGTTACCGAAGGGAGAAAGGCGATTATTCCTTTGCTTTGAAGCATTGCACGAACCAAGGCGCTGAGATGGAAGGCACTGAGCATTTAACTTCCTCCTCTGGTCCCAGTAACTTGAAAGGAAACTTCCCCCATCACCAGGAGCCTCTGCTCCCTAGATTCCCAGATGGTTAGGGAAGGTGGGAGTCAGGCCAGGGTCCACGCTACATTGAGGGTGGTGGGTGGGCACAGGCAGCCAGACTGGCAGGGACAGGATGAAAGTGAAGCATTGTGTGTGGAAAAGAGAGCTGCCAGCTGGGTCACATGCCAGGCTCTCGTGCAGTCCTGTCTGGGGCTGAAAGGCAGGGGTTCTGCTGGTCCAGCCCTCACCTCACCCAGAGCCAAACTGCTTCAAGGGGAAAAGGGGGGCCTTCTTGCAGGTTTTCTCTGCATTACTCAAATTGCTAGAAATTTGGAGAAAATTTCAAAATTCCTTCCTTTCTCTCTCTTAATCCCTTAAATTCCTTAGACTTCTGAGATACCCGTGATCTCAGTCTTGGGCTCTTCCACTAGCCCATCCCTTGGTTCAGACAACAGTGAAAAGCAGCCCAGGGGAGGGCTGGAAGCAACCTCTCATTCACCAGCTCAGTGGGACATCCCAACAACTTCAATCCCTGGTTCTGTGCAGGGACAGCCTTGCCTTTCCCCTCCACCAAACCCTCTACATCTCTTCCTGGGGACTTTTCCATTCTTTTTCTTTTTCCTCAGATACAATTAGCAACTCTTCATTTGGCTCCCCCATCATCCTCTCTGTGTTCCACTTCTGCTCTCTAGACAACCCTTCACCCTGTTCTTCCAACAACTCTTCATTACACACCTACTGTGTGCAGGGTACTGCATGAGGGACAGGAAACACAAAAATGAGGGGTCAGGGTCCTGGGGACGCTCCCGAAGCACCTCAGCCTGTTCTCTCAAGAGTCCCTCATCTCCTGAAAATCCTTTGTAAACTGTAAAGGGCCCAACAGTGTTGATTTTTATTGTTACTGCTTTCAGGGAAAAACTGGGAAATTAGTCATTCCTTCTCAAAGGGAACGTTGGCCATGAAGTTCATAGTCCCAGATCAGGGTCCGAGTTAGGCCGGTGCCATAGGGTATGCCCCTCCCCGCCATCAGTTCTTTATTCTCTCACTCCAGGGCTCTATGGCTCCCTAATTGGAGGAGTTTGTAAATAAAGAAGGCCAGGAGGGCTTCCTGGGACTACGGCAGTGGGGGAAAGAGCTCTGGGGAGAACCTGTAGCTTGCACAGTGATTCCTGTGTGTGTGTACAGATCCTGCCCCCCACTAGCTTCCCCCATCCTCACTAACAGCAGGGCTGGAGAGGCAAAGGGAAAAGAAGGAAAGTGGTCTCCTCCCCATCTCTCTGTTTCCCCCCAATCCCTGAGCCTATTTTTCTAGCCCCTAGGCTCCCTATTACACTCCTCTTCTTCCGTTAAGCTTGCATAAGGACATGTGGATATCAGCACAGACAGACACAGACATTCTACCTACCCCCGAATGCAGCCAGGATCCAAATCACCTGTAGCAGGAGAATGAAGAACATGATGGTATCCTCAGAAGGAGCACAAGGTACTGGGAGTTTGGAGACTAGAGGACTAGAGGAGAGAGAATCCTAAAGTTGAATGTTTTTATCTCTTTTTCTCTTGCTGTCTCTGTGTCTCTGCAGGCTTCTAGGGCAGTTGGTTTTCAGTAGGCTACGGTGGGTTTCCAGGTCCTTTCCAGGTCCCCAGGACAAATCTCGCAGCCTTCTCTCTCTGCCCTCTCTTTTTTATCTCCCTCTGCAGTCTTCACTCTACTTGCTGGCCAGCGACTTCACAATTGCCTTCTGCTTTTAAGGTGGCTCTCGATGGGTGTACGTGGGGAGCGGGGCTGCCTGGGTTGTTGGCCAACAGCTCCTTAAATAGCCGATTAGGCATGCAGGATGGCCCTGCTCAGAGCCAGAGCATGCCTCTCGCGCTGGGGTTTCACGGGAGACCTGGCCCTGGCACAGGAGCCCAGCTGGGGTGAGCTCTTCCTTCCTCGGCTTTTCACACTGACACTGTTCAGATGAGTGTTCCCTAGAGAGGGAGGGGGCAGGGAAGGAGGGCTTTGGGGTCCAATTCAGCCTGCTCAGGGGATCACTGGGTTCTCATTCCCTGTCTGGCCCCTCTGAGGAGCAACTCCCTGGGTGGTATGGGGCAGATAGTGGGGGGACCTGTTCCCAATCTGCAGAGCTGGCCTGGAATACGAAGAGTCCAGAGTTAGGAGACAGGTAACAAGGGGCAGTTGGGTGACTCAGGATAGGAAGTCAAGGACTAAAACCTGGGTCATGGAAAATAAAGAAGAGAAGCGGGGCAAAGAGAACTTGTCTGGAGTGCCTGTCACCACCCCCTTTCCACCGTGAGGCCTGGGTCCACGTGCCTGTGTGGCCTGGGTGGGGGGTGGTGGTTTTGTTTGTTGTATAAAGCCCATTTGTATGCCCAGCGGGGGAGGGGCTTTAGCAGCACCATGGGGAGACAGCGGCTCCAACTGCCAGACCCAGCCACCTCCCTCCCCAGGGAGTCCAGATCTAGGGCGGCTTTTGTCACTGAAAAGGACACTAACCCCTGGCAGGGAGGCCATGGCAGGGAAGACCTTAGAAACAATCACTACCATCACCAAAATAAATAAATAAATAAATAAATAAATAAATAAATAAATAAATAAATAAATAAATAAAATAAAAATGCAGGCTCCAAAGAAAGAGAGGAGAGGGAGCAGAGAGAAACCATGTGATCCACTTGGAAGAGGGGCCCAGGGTCTTCCCTCCTGCCCAACAAAGGGCTGAGCAGGACGTGTGGGACTGAGTGAAACCTGCCACCAGGGAGCTGGGTGAGCTGGGCTGTCTCAGGAATGTGGACTGCTGCTTGCTCCCCCATGGGACTAGAAATCCCGATTGGAATGTACATTCTCATTAGAGAATTTGCAACCCACAGATAATTTCAAACCAGACGTTGAAATCTCTTTCTCCTCCATACCCTTCATCAGTCACCAGCCAGGAGGATGCTCCCTTTTCAGCTCCCTCTGCCCCCTTTGCTCCTGCTAAGTAGCAATAAATAGCCAAAACAAAGGGAGCAGAAGCTAAATAAGGGAGCAGGATAAAAGCCAAATGAACAGAATAATGTATGTTGGATCATCTGCACCTGCAGAGGCAGGAGTCCACCATGTCTTTCTGTGATTGATCTGCAAAGCAAAGCCATTTTGCAGATGTCAATGTCATTTCCTTTTCAATTCTCTTATCATCCTCAATATTATTTTTCACTTACAGAAAAGTTTTTTTTGTGTTAATTCTCACCTGAGGGTATATTTTCCATTGATTTTCTTTTCGAGAGAGAGTGGAAGGGAGGGAGAGAGAGCAAAACATCGATGTGAGAGAGACACATTGATTGGTTGCCTCCCACGGGCACCCAAACCCAGGGCTGGGACTGGAACCGAACCTGTAGCCCAGGTACATGCCCTTGACCAGGAACTGAACCTGAGACACTTCAGTGTGCGGACTGACCCACTGGGCCACACCAGCCAGGGCACTTACAGGAAAGTTTTGTTTTGAGGTTCCCACCTATCTAATCTAAGAAGAATGAATGGCAAAGTGTAAGTTAGTCTTCCTGGGAATGGGGATAGTTATCACAGAGGAACAAGAAGAAGAAAAAAAAGAAAGAAAGAGAAAGAAAGAACGAAAGAAAGAAGAAAGAAAGAAAAGAAAAGAAAAGAAAAGAAAAGAAAAAAGAAAAGAAAAGAAAAGAAAAAGAAGAAAGAAAGAAAGAAAGAAAGAAAGAAAGAAAGAAAGAAAGAAAGAAAGAAAGAAAGGGAAAGAAAGAAAGAAAAGGGAGAAAGCAGAGACATCTTATGCATGGTACTAAAGAGGCCTGAACAGAATGACCTCAGAGTACCCGGGGAGCCCCTGATTCTGTGATTCAACCTCCCAAGGCAGGTAGTGTGTCTTACCAGGCACCACCTCCTGGTTGTCTATGAGCTTTTTAATTTTTAAAATTTTAATTTAAAATGTTTTGCCTGGCCCTAGCTGGTTTTGCTCAGTGGTTAGGGCGTCAGCCCATGGACTGAAGGGTTCTGGGTTTGATTTTGGCCAAGGGCATGTACCTCAGTTGCAGGCTCTGCCTCAGTCCAGTGGAGAGCAGGAGGCAACCAACTGATATGTCTCTCTCACGTGGATGTTTCTTTCTCTCCCTTCCAATCTCTCTAAAAGAAAAAAATAAAAATAAAATAAAATATTTTGCCCAGCCTTCATGGCTCAGTGGTTGAGCATCGACCTATGATCCAGGAGATCCCAGTTTGATTCTTTGTCAGGGCACATGCCTGGGTTGTGCCCAGTAGGGGATGTGCAGGAGGCAGCCAAGCAATAACTCATCATTGATTTTCTCTCTCTCTTTCTCTCTCCCTCTCCCTTCCTCTCTCTGAAATCAATATATTTTAAAAAATAAATAAAATGTTTTGTGTGTGATTCCTTCTGGGAAGTGTTTCATTGCTGGCGGGCTTTGGGATTTTTGTCTACACAATTGAACATTGTTTCACAAAGATGTCTTAGCCCCAACGCCACACTTTCTCACTTCTGAGTGAGCAGCCCCTCCAGGCTCTTGTGCTACCGGAAAGGACAAAGGCCCTGGTTTCTAGGAGAGAGAAGGGAGAGAAGCACCGTCCTCCAGAGACTTGCCTTTGATCATTGACTCTGCTGTAGACATATCTGATGATTTGGGGTAGGTGTCAAGAGGAGCCTTATATGTTTGTTTTTAAAAAAACCCACCCCCTTAGTTGCTACTCAAACTCTGGCACCTTTGTTTTAATTCCACATCTCCCTCTCCAGCCCATGCCTTACTGGAGGTTTGGCGAAAACCCTACAAAATTAAGGTACTCTGCTGCCTTCTGGCGCCATCTCCTGTCCTTTCAAAGGTAGTGAAATGTGAATTGGTCAGAATTAAATGTCCAAGTATGGTGGCTTTTTGGTTTCTTTTTCCTTAAAAGTCCCTTTTTAAAAAGGATATTTAAACTTGCTAAATATCCCAAATAGTCTAAAACACCTTACAGGAACCCACTAAGTTCTCTGGGTTTGTATGGGGCATGTACATGAGAGTTCAATGAGGAAGGGGGGCAGATCAAAAGGAAAAAATGGTCAATACAGTACAAGTGGTAACTAATTGCTGAGAACAGAGAATCAATGAGGAGACAGAATTAGATAGAATTCGATTTCCTAAAAGTGCAAGCAACTTTGTTCCATGAAGTAATATAGACCCAGAGATAGTCTAACTTGATAGATAAAAGCATTTATTATCACACTCTTGTCTTCTAACACATTAGAAGCCCCGTAGGTGAACACAAAAGCTTCCAAGAATTAAAGTCAAAGTAATTTGGAGGAGGGGATGGCGGGCAGACTCTTTGGATCACTTTCTCAGTTTTCCAGTTCACATGCAGGACGGATGCAGTATGAGAATCTTGTAGAAAGAGGACAGGTAAGAATTTGTGGTATGAAATGTTGCAACTTTAATTAAAAAGGAGTAATTTTGTGTCATGCATTGATTCCATGCCCAGAACACTGCCTGGTACATAAATATTTGCTGATTGAATGAATGAATCTAGTCATTGGGACATTTATTTACTTTTTTTTTAACCTTTGGTATTTCACAGAATTTTAAACCAGAAGGGTCCTCAGGCATCATTCCAACTCCCTTATTTATCTTGTAAAGACTGAGTTTTGAGGGATTTAGGGATTTTCCCATGGTTTGTCATATAGTTGCTAAGCTGAACCACAGCAAGGACACAGGTACCAATGAGTTTTCTCTGTACCACTGCTTCTCAAACGTCAGTGTGCATCAGAATCATCTGAAAAGCTTATTAAAATACAGATTTCTGGGCCTCCCTCTTTCACAGTTTCTGATTCCATAAGTCTGGGGTATGTCCATGGATTTGCATTTCTAAGAGGTCAAAAGGTGACGCTGAAGTTACTGGTCTGAGGGACCACACAAGAATGAATGCCCTACACCAACTGGAGAAGCAGAAGTAGAAAGGGATCTGCCATTCTTTGTAGGGGTTCCAACTATCTGGAATTGTTCTTTGCAGTCACTTTTGTAGGGGTTAGCAACAACACCTTCGTTAGTTACAAACATATATGGAGTACTAGTCACCATGACAGACCCTAGAAATAAAAAATTAATAAGACATAATCCCTGCCATCAAGAACTTCATAGTCTCTTAGGGGATGCAGGTAACCTTACCCAATTACTGAAATACAATTGTGAGAAGATCTAAATAGCGATAGAGCAAAGTGTTTATGGGAACCAAGGCGGGTGGACAATTAGCAGTGAGATTTTCTTTACCTAATGTCAACAGTCTTTTCACAAGATGGGAGCATAGCCAAGTTCTACAGTTATATGTAAGAACAAAAGTTGCCACTTCAAGGAAGGTAGACTCAAGCTTCACTGTCTCTGAAGGTGACACCAAATGATAGGTTATATTAAGCAGGATTCTCCTTAATGTAGTTAATAAACTGCTCCTTTGCAAGGAGGAAGGACACAGGATATCATGACGCCCTAGAATGGTAATTATTTGTTCCATCTGCTCTGGTGGCCACCTCATCCTGCCTGTCTTCTCCCTTGTTTTCTTCTCTACCATCCATCTAACTCAGATGATGGTTGTGTACCAATCCAAGCAAAACACATTAATACTCCTACCACTTCCCTTTGATGGTTTGAAGATTCTAGTTAAAGAGAATTTTTTCTTTGAAGAAATTTTTATGTCTGAATTGCTATAGGAATAGAAATTAGAAGATACTACTCCAAAATCTTGTGATGATGGGTAGCTTATAAGTGGTGTAAATCATCCCCCGAATAAGAAGTCTGTTCTCAGATCAGAATGTGACAAATGATTTGGAGTTCTTGGAAATCTTACAGCCAAAGAGCGTGCTGTGCTTTCATTGACATTTTGCTCTTAAAATGTCTATACATTTTTCAAAAGGATATGAGTCTTGAAGG